TAAAGAAGGAAGCCCAGCTAACAAAGTAAGGTATCAAAGACTTGTGGGCAAGCTACTATGTCTATCATACACCAGACTTGATATTGCATACTTAGTGTAATAAGCCAATGCATTAACAATCCAAATGAGGATCATTTGGAAGTTGTGAATAGAATTCTGAGATATTTGAAAATAACTCCTGGATATGTCTTGTTCTTCAAATAGTTCAAAAATCATGAGATTGAGGTATACATTGATACTAGCTGGGCGAGAGAGGTAACTGATAGGAAATCAAATGCTAGATAATTCACACGTCTTGGGCAATCTCTCGCTTGTAGAAGTAAAACACAACTTGTCTTGCGGAGTTGTGCAGAATCTGAATATCATGCTCTCATACTAGGAATATGTGAGGGAATGTGAAGTCAAAGGTTATTAAAAGAACTTAAGGTTGAGGTAAAAAACAATTAAAATGTTCATTGATAGCCAAACAACTATTATTATAGCTAAAAATTTTATACACCATGACAGAACAAAACATATTGAGATTGACCGGCATTTCATCTCAGAAAATGATAACAATGTAATTTACTCAGCTAAAGTATGTTCCAACATGATTTCGGATTGTTGATATCCTCATCATTGAACTATTAAAGGTCGGTCATTATGAATTGAAGTCAAGGCTTGGTTTGTATAATATATACTACCCAACTTGAGGGAGAGTGTAGGAAAGTGTCAACCCACATGCTTGATTAGGAAGGAATTTATTTTCTTTATTTATAATAAGTCATTAATTGTGTTTTCTATTTTTCTATTTTCTTATTTGGTGGGATTCCTAATTTGAAAGGATTCCAATTTTCTATTTTGTTTCATGAATTTTATTATGTGTTGTTAGGTGTAATGCATTAAGGAGGTGAAAATAAAAATTCCTTTTCAGAATTCTACAATTCTTTAATTCAGAGTCTGTTTGGGGCAGCTGTTGATTATTTATAATTTGTTGATAGATTATTCTGATAATTATCAGGCTTGTGGTTTGGGTCAGCTTATTCAGAACAGCTTATTGTCAGTTGTTGGATAAATGATCATTCTGCCCCTGTTTGGTTAAACTGTTCGTAACAAAACTGTATGAACACGAAAATAGATAAAACAAAATCCACAAATCATTATAGATCAGTTCAAAAAGACAATATTTACTGCTCACACTCAGTCACACCTATAGTCTAATAAATAGTCTAATAAATAACTAAAACTTGGTTGATCAACTGTCACAGATAGCATCTGCGATAAACTCCCTTAAGCAGCCATCTCAGCTTAAGGATTTGGAGAAGTGTCTGTACGCCTTTGGAGAAGTAACGACTAATTGTTTCAGATGAATGTTGAAATCTCTCCATTGTTCTTCTAATTAATTCATTCTGTGACAGAATGTATAGTGTTATAGTCAACACCTCTCTATTTGTCGTTCTAGAAGAACCTTGGAGATCCATAATAATAGGGCAGTCATTCTAAAGATGTTGTTGAACCTTATTGGATATCCAGAAAGCATCTCATCCACTCATTCATCCCCAACAAAGTTGGAAGTCATGCGAAGTATGCGATCACGGCTGGATCGATAATACTCTAACAGCAATATCGCAATAGCTGCAGCCAATGCCATTCTTTTATGGCGTTCCTGCTGCGGATCCATCCTAAAACAAAAAAATGTAAGTGTTAAAAAAATTGTTAAGACATAGGAGGAGCGAAAAATAAGCAATGAAAACATCAAGGCCTACAAATTACACATCGAATAAAAAATGTACAAAGATCAACTTATAAAAAACATGAATCATTTAGAAATACATTAACAAAAACATGAGTACAAAGATGAACATATAAAAATGATCTATTTTAGAAGTACATAACACAACAAAAGCTACAAATAACAACACAAAAAACTCATTCATCCACCAAAACACACAAATATTTTACGTGCAATTCTGGTTGCAGCGCCATAAATATTTGCCTACGGGTAGGATCCTCAAGTTTTTTCACACACTTTGCATGAAATCGCATGTCGGCAACTACTTTAGGAATATGGGTCAAAGCTCCAATACATTCTAAGATGGCGCTGTCAGGGAGTGAAGCAGTTGGTGGAGCTCCAAAAACATCAATGAGTCGATCGAAGAAGGTTTTCACAAAATTGTCATTTTCTTTCTTCATCCTACCAAGTCTGGGCCTCTTTGACGGTGAACTGGACTCCCCCATCTCCCTCTGGTTAATACTACGTACTTCTTCATCAGTTGTCAACTGCTCAGGGGAGAAGTCATCTGGTATGTCTGCAAACCCCATCTCACTAGGGTTGAATGCATGTTTTCCCGTCGCGATAACCCCCTTAAACATTATGTCAAGTTTTTCTTCAAAGTTCTGCTCAAGTCCGCACTGCTTATATTTCTTCGCTGGCATCGTAAAAATATGAAGAATTTATAGTTACACAAAGCAACTTGAAATATAAATACATGACAGTGTTGTAAGTAAAAAAAGAAAAGAAAAACAAAGAAGGCACCCATCACAAAAATGGATAGACAAAATAAAACACGCAAATAGAGAGAAACACCCATCACATGAAAAAGTGGCTCACATAGCCTTGAAACAGAAACATGCACAATTAAAATGATTATCTTCAAGTATGTGGAGATATAAAGACCGAGCAAGGAAGAACAAGTAAGATATGAGGCCACGTGGATATACATGCTAAATGCTAAACTGTCTGAATTGCCAGCATTACAACAAAATCAGCACCAAAGAAAAAGTAATTACCATGCATTTAATTTAGTTGAAACTACTTGCAATAACTCTCTGCAGGGCAAGGCATAATAAATCCTCACACTAAATTAAAACGCTCATCTCAATATTCCAATACAAACTAATTTAGAAAACGACAAGGCATGACAAAGAATTGCAATGTATCTATTATCTCCATATAAAATTCAATTGCAATAAAACACTTTCAGCATATGCTGAATTCACTTGTAAATATGAGCCCTTAGAACTTCAAAGCAAGTATAAAGGATGTAAACATGAGAATAATTCAATGAAAGCCGTCAAGAAAATGGTTTTTCTTTCATAAGGCAATATGTATGTAAAAAAAAAAATGAAGTTTAGGCATAAAAAAAAAATCATGAAATCCAACACACAGACCTTTAAAATGATGTACTATTTATACAAATGTGGCATAATGCTATAAAAACTGCATCTATGTAATTAAATTCATAGATAAAGTAATTGTAAAGGGATGATAAAAAAAAAGGAGTTATTCAGAATCCTATAAGATTAACATACACACCACCTGAAAGTCTAACATCCAAGCTTTCAATGCCATACATATAATACTAGCTGCACAAACATCATAGGGATTTGTAGCATGTGCAAGTGCAATATTTGGATTCTAGTGTCATATTTAAGATTTTGGAAATCCGTATACATAGATCCAAGTTCTTCAGTTGAATTTTCCTTAGGAATAGGTCAGATAGCCTTTATAGAATTCTTGAAATTACCTCTTTTAGAATAGCCTAAACTAATGACATTTACACCAAGGATTATGGCTCATAAAAAATTTTGTTTGTTGTACTCAGGACAATCTAGCATAAAGCACTTCAAATATCATATTACAGAGTCTATAAAAAAAAAGCTTAAAAACATAGTCCAAGAAAACTCATAAATTTCTGCAAGTTTATAATCTTGCTCATACAACATTCTATAGCAAATACAAATATGTATATCTATAGCAAATATGTATATATTAACTTCATAAACACATAATCGGAGCAAACAACACAACAAATTAATCAAAGGGCATGAAAAATAAAATTTATGTACTTTCATAAAAATCAAGGGTTCTTCCTATCATTACACTACTTGTGCCAAAATATTTCAAACAACTATAAATGGAGAAAAAATGCTACATCTAGACAAAGAAACGATTTTTCACTCCACCAAAAATGCTTACAGTGGACGGGGAGGGTGTTGGGAAGAGAAGGGCTGAAGGAGATCTTCGATCCTCTACTCCCTGGAGCCTTTCGTCTGAGTTAGGAGGATAAAAAATGTTGTAAGTGGACGGCGAAGGTGTTGAGAAGAGAAGGGATGAAGGAAAGCTTCGATCCTCTTACCTTGAGCCGGCTTCGATCCTCATCTGGAGCCGGGAACTGTTGTTTGAAGGAAACATTTGATCTCCTCCTGGAGTCAGCTTCGATCCTCACCTGGAGCCGGCTTTGATCTCCGCCTTGGACCGCGACCGGGATGGCTGCTTGGGAGAAAATCGCGAGAGAAAGGGTGAGAGATCGGAGAGGAGAAGCGAAGGGTACAATATCTGGGACGAGATCCATCGAGATGCTGGAGGGTAATAGGCTCAAACGGAACGAGGAAAGTAGGGTTCGAAGAGCGGCATCAAATAACGAAGGAATGGCATCCAGCGATTTCGTATCGCGATACATAAGTGCGAAACAAACGTGAAGTGAGCATTTTCAAACGCCCACCGCACCAATAAGCTGCCCCAAACGGGCACTCAATTTCAATGTATTTGAAATTTGTTGGATTTAGTGAAATTCCAATTAAACCGTTTTACACAGCGGTTTCCCATTGTTGTTGCTTGCTCTCCAATGCTGCCGCTTGTCCGACAGCCGGCTAGTGGTTCGTCAACTATCCCTGCTCATTTGCTAGCCGCCCCTTGTCGTCAACCGCTGATGGTCTCCCACATG